ATAATAATGATAATTATATAATATTTACTTGATGGTAAATCCCAATGACGGACAAGACCTAATGGAACAGTGACAATTACTCGATCAAAAACTTGGGAGGCTTTTCTTCCGTGATTTTTCCAATATACTTCAACTTTATCATCATGTGTTTTTTCCAACTTATAAACTTCACTATTATATGTCAGATTAATATTTTCCTTTTTGATCATTGGCAAGAAAGAATTAGGAAGCCGTTGCAATCCTTTATCAATGGTCCTCCAACTTATCTCATATTTAGGGTTGATAAAGTTATACATCTCAGTGACAACAGCAGGAAGACTAAATAAGTGATATTCACCTAAAAGTATATTTATTTATAAATTATAATCAATTAATATTTGATTAAAATAGTCAGAATAAACTATTACATACCCGTTCCTGCTTCTTGTAATTCAATAGCACTAATAATTTTATCATAGTCAGCAGATTTGTCTGGTAAAACTTTGGGAAGATAAATTTCTTTTAAATAAGAATAAGGAGTATAGCTATCGTAACGTTTTAAATTAATAAGACCATTTGTGAAATTTGAATCCAATTCATCATAGAAAGGTTGTAATGCATCAATCCAAAGATCACGATAATTATATGGAATATCATCAGGTAATCCTAGTTGTTTTGCGTCAGCACTTTCGGAGTAATTGCTGGTCATAATTTCACCAGATGGGGTTTTTTTATTGTTGAAGTAATACAAAGCACTTTATATAAACGTTTAGATAGACGTTTAGATAGAAATTATTAATATATTCATTAGTAATAGTTGATTATATGTTTAAAAATATTATACAAACTTTGGATTACTAAAAATAAAAGGAATGAGTTTGATTTCTCTATCTGGATCATCCTTCTTATTATATTCATTCATATAATCAATTGTATCAAAGGTAAGTTGATGTGGACTAAGATCTGGCCGATCTTGAACAAAAGGTAATCGCATTGCACCAAGTTCTGCATATAAACGTCTATCATCATTAGGATTGTCGGTAAAGTAATGAGTATGGATACGTCCACCAACACGATCTTGATATTCAAGAATAGTGATATCATCGATACCGGCTTTTTTCAAAAGAAGGGCTGAAAATAAGCCTAATAATACATATATAAAATTAAATTCATTAAATGCGCTCATGATACATATAACGGTAGCTATTAATTAAAAAAAAAAATACCAGAAATTCCTGCGCCAACAATGCATATTTCTAGTAGAATAGCATGCTTTTAGAATTAATGTTATTACAACCACATGAATAAATTATAAACATTGAATATTTTATACTTGGATTTTTTGTCGGAGTACTTCGAGGATTTATATTTTCATCTCTAATTCTAAATATAATCATAATAATAATTATAATGTATTATAACTAATAAGCTTTACTTTAGTAAATATATTAATATGCGTTTTTACCTTTTATGGTATTCATTGTAGTAATACTCTTTTAAAAACACTGAACGTTTGTCAATTTCATTATTAAGTAACCCTCTTTGACGTTGACGGGCCAATCTTGCTTTTCTGTGTCTTTCAATCGCTCGATCCTCTTTATTATAAAAAAAGATAAATTACCATATGAAAATTAATGTAATACTTGCATGTTCCGTTAAGAGTTATTAATTTAATACTTACGCACTAATAATTATAGTAAGATGTTTCAAGAGAAATAATTTTCATTGATTAGAACCAAATTATGCATAATTTGTTAATTAGGCTGTTTGAAGTTATAATTTCATTTCCACTTCTTTCAGAACGTTCGTTACGTTTTGAGATTTCAATAAATTTAATCATAGTAGGATTGTTTTTGCTACGTAATACAGTTATAATGTTTGTCCCACTGTGCTTAAGTGCTAAAATGGAACGTTAAACGAAATTATTACTTCAAACGGCCTTATTGTCACGGCTGATGCTGGAAATTTGATTTTATACGAATTTTTTTAAATTTTCAGTGTGCATTATTTTTTTAGAGTTAACTTTTATAATAAGATTATAAGTGAACTTTAGTAGGGTTTATATTTTTTTTAAATAGAGACCCTGATTTCTAGCTTCAGCTGTGTCTAGAGACAATTGTTAAATCAATTTTTTCGCACTTACATACTGATAATTTACCAAAAAAAGAATAAAATTTATCTTATTATTAAATAAAAAAAAGTCATGTTTAGTTTATGAACCAATAAAAATATTACTTACGACCTATAATACATATATGTAGAATACGTATTTAATAAATTTTAAAAATTTGGTTAGTGCTTGAGTAACATAATACGATTAAAGTTAATTTGGCGCGGTAAACGCATGTTTTTAATAAATTTTCTATTTCTGATTTTTAATACATATCCTATTTTCAGGGAATCATCTTGTTTCCATGGATCATATTTGACTTATTTATCGGGTTAGTCAATCGATTAATTTTATAAAATATAGTTAAAAGAAGTTTAACTCTTTTTAAAAATTAATTAATTTACTAACACGATAAATAGATCCATGGATCCCCGAAAACATCTTATAGAAAAGTATTATTTTGATTCGCATTTACTGGCACAGTTTTAATTAGATTTAACATTTAGTCAAAAATATTTACTTTGAGCGAAAGGTGAAATAAAAATTAATGTTATAATAAGAACAAAATAAAATTTAGATATCATATTGTGTGAACTTGTTAAAAGACAAACTCGATGCAGAAATGAAGAGATAAATTTGATGCCTTTTATACAATCTAAAGATTCAATGGCACTCTCATCGCCTATAGATTATACCGTAATTAAAAATAGAGTCAAATCTTCTGAATATAACCCTCCTAAATACAATATCTTCTAAATACA